AAAATTTGTCTCAACTATGCAGGTAAATATATTAATGTGTTTTCACTATTTTGCTGTGAAACACTTGTCATTTTGTCCTCCAGTCTTCTGTTAAACTTTAGCAACACTTTGAGGTAATTTTTAAGTTAAATTCTTCAGATGCAGTTTGGTCGACAAGGAAAAGAGAGGCAGCGCTTCCAACTTTTCAACTCAGACCTTTCAAGTCAGACCTCCTCTTACAAGATGTGACAGACAAACTGGTTGTTCTGCCAGATGACATGGACGTTAGCCAGATGATGGGGCTGGGGTTGGGTTAGGGTGAGGGTTAGGGTGAGGGTTATGGGGCAAGGGAACCAAGAACTGGATCCCCCACCCCTCCCCACACCCCTCCTCAATGCACGGGCACGCATCCGACCACAGGTGTTTTCCCCAGGGCCGTTCCTCCATCTGTCCATGAGGCCATGGCCCACCAGCATCTGCAGTCCGGAGATCCAGATGTGTTCCCTTCTCTGCGCTGTGGACCACACTAGGTTTCTTCATCATCATCATCCATACACAAAAAAATATAAACACTGTAGAACAACATCACCCCGTGTCTCTGTCATCCTCCCCTCCCAGGAGAGGTCTAATGGTGTCCCCTGCTGGGTTCAGCAGGATCAGGTGTCGTGGGTGGAGGTGTGGGAGAATAGGGCTTAAAACTGAAAGAGGCTGGAACATAGGGTTTAAACTGGAAGCCAGCATCCGAAGGAGACATTGTGGAAGCAGGAGCTTTGATGGCTGCAGCAGGGGCTGAGTGAGGATCTGAGGGCCCCGGGCTCTGTGTGGTCTCCCTCTCCCTGCTGGGCTGAGCAGGCTTGGATCTTGTGGAGGCAGGAGCTTTGATGGCTGCAGCAGGGGCTGATTGAGGATCTGAGGGCCCCGGGCTCTGTGTGGTCTCCCTCTCCCTGCTGGGCTGAGCAGGCTTGGATCCTGTGGAAGCAGGGGCTTTAGTGGCTGCAGCAGGAGCCTCATGAGGAGCTGGGGGCCCTAGGCTCTGTGTGATGTTCCTCATTAGGCCCAGTGCCTCTCTGCTGTGCTCTACTGTCTCTTCCCTGAGCCGTCTTCCCAGATTTCTCCGGGCCCATTTAGTGGCTATGATAAATGAGGCCCATAAGTTGCCTCCAAAGGTGCAGAGTGTGCGTTTGAAGCGGGTAATGCTGTCCTGATAATGTTTTTTCAGAGTCTGGATTGTGTTGAAGGCCCACTGTATAGCATTGTCCTCAATAATAGTCTTAGTGTTCTCATTAC